AACCTCTGTTTCCACATGGAACCAGATATCAACCTCCCTGATTGAGTATGAGTGTCCACCGTGTCCAGAGATGGGAGCGTAACTGCCATCTCCTGCATCCTAGGGAGAGTGACCACACAGCTGTTCTGCTCTGCATACTTAGCTACCCAGCCCTTCTCCTGAATCTGAGACACTAACTTCCCACTCTCCTCCTTCACCTGGGAACAATCCTGTCCCACACACACTGACTTCCCAGCAAGCTGGTCACCCACAGTCACTGGGTTAGCAGCCTGCTCCAGTTCTCTGGATGTTTCTGCCTCATCTGGAACAACCCTCAGTCCCTCTGAGACTTCCCCATAACCATCCCCACTGGATTTGGCCATATCCGAGTCAGTGGAGTCACTGCTAATGGACAAGTTCTGTCTGTCAGGCACTGCAACAAGTGCCTCACACAACAAGCTGCTGCCTTTTACAGGCAGAGCTTTCTCCTGAATGCCTTCTCCAAGCCAGGCATTGTCACCTCTCTCTTACTGCAAACTGCTTGCTACAAGCACTGCCAGGACTCTCCTCCCTACAAGCTTCCTTAAGCAACAGTTCACTCTTCTCTGGCTCTGCAGCAGCATTACCCTGCTGAGCCACAACCAACTCCTCCTGCAATTCCTTTACTCCCTGAGTCATCTCTGGCCCCTCCGGTGGATTCACAAACAATCCCCTCTCAGGCACACAGACAGACTCACAAGAGACAGGGTCAGAGGCACCTTCTCTCCCTTTGCATCTCTCCAGATGGCTGTAAACTTCCACACCATCATTAGGCACCAGAGTTAACACGCCCTCATTCTCTCCTTGTTCCTGGGCTAAGGGGTCACCTTGGTCCCACAGAGTTGCTCCCCCTCTTCCAGCAACACAGCAGCATCAGGCACAACATCAGTGTCCCCACTGTCTGATTTCTGGGGTTCTGGCAAGACACTGCCTGGATCTACCCAAGTCACAGCATCCTCCTCCCCAGCAGACACAAACTTAGAGCCACCTCCTTTCTGGGCCTTCTCTGTATCCAGACCCAACTCCGGGACATCAGCACTGCTCTCCGCCATCACAGGCTGTGGGGCATCTTCCTCAGACAAAGGAAGAAACTCTTCCCCACACACAGACAGACAACCAGAGACAGTTCCTCCCTTGTCCGGACATCCCTGGCTAATCTCAGGCATACAGCTAGATACTGAGACAGCTTCCTTCACTGCCCCACTGCTACTTCCACCAGCCAAACCGCCAGCTTGCACACACTGTGCTTCTTCACACAAATCGGGACAACAGCCCTGCTCTCAGCCAACACAGGCTGTGGGGCACCTTCCTCAGACAAAGGAAGAAACTCTTCCCCACACACAGTCAGACAACCAGAGACAGTTTCTCCCTCGTCCCAACACCCCTGGCTAATTTCAGTCATACAGCTAGCCACTGGGACAGCTTCCTTTACTGCCCCCTTGCTACTTCCACCAGCCAAATTGCCAGCTTGCACCCACTGTGCTTCACACAACTCAATTTCAGCTTGTGCAGGTTCAATTCCACAAACCTCACCAGCCACCAACTCCTCAACTAAGACTTCACTCTGGCCAGCCACTCCAGACTGCCCCAGAGAAACATTTCCCTGACTTCTGGGCTCTTCCTGCCCTGGTTCTGATTCCAGCTCCTGCTTTCTCTTAGCAATTTCTTCATCTGCCTTCCGCCTTCTTTCAGCAGCTTCCTTGGCTTGCTTCTGCTCCCTTTCATCCACATCTCTGGCTAGTAACAACACTACCAGATCTAGTTTAGAGGCCCTTTTCCTAAAGGCAATGCCTCTCCCTGAGCACAAATCCTTCAGAGCCTCTCTACTTAGGCTCTCATACTGGCACTGACTCATTTCGGCTGCCCTTTACCCAACCAAACTCTCAGTACTAAAAATCAAATTTAGACAGCGTGGGGTCCTGATCCCAAAGCTCAGTTGACCAAGATCTGTGGATCCTGCCGACTACACCACTGTGACAGACCAGGCCGTGTCTGGGCACAGCTGAGGGTGTCCGCTCAGGGCGAATTGCTCAAATCCGGGGCTCCTTACAGCCCCCGACTGGTGACCTCTCCAAACAGGCCACCTGAAGCCTCACAAGCCTCAAAATCCAGTAACCTGACATGGTCCTGCCCAGGGAGCCGGCTCTGTCCCTTTCCCAGGGCCTGGGGGCACGTCGGGGGGTGGGGGGGAGAGGGAAACCGATCCCATGCAGGGCGGAGCTGGGCTCTGAAAGCCTCAGAGCTGCTGGGGCTTCCTCGGCATCCGGTCCTGCCAGAATCACCCCCAACCCCCTGACGGGGCGGGGCCTGCTGGGTTTTTAGCCCGCTGCCTGCTCGCCCGGGGGTACTTGCGCCGTTAGACGGAGGCTGAGCTGGGCGTCCCGACACAGGCCCCCGAGGGGCAGGATGATGGGGGGGCTCTGCTCCCAGCTGGCCCTGCTGCTGCTGCTGTTCCCAACGCACGGTGAGAGACCCGGGCCCAGGGCAGAGCTCCAGGGAACAGGGTCAGGGAGACTCTCCTGCAACCTGGGGGGAGGATAGACGGGGATGGGGGATCCTGCCCCAGTGGGCAGGCTCCGGGCCCTTCCCCGGCCTGGCCCCGCGGGCGTGAAGTAACAAGATTCTGGGCAGTGAGGGGCAGAAATGACTGTGCCAGGCCCCAGCCCTGCTGTGGATTTGGGGACCCTGATCCCACCCCCCAGGCACCCTATCAAAGCCCAACAAGACCCCTCCACTCTCTCTGGCTCACCCTCTGCCCCGGGAGCCATGGCCCCTGCTCTTCTCCCCAGTCGCCTGCCCTCCAACGCTGCAGAGAACACAGCTGATCCCAAGAGAGCTGGCAGCAGCACTTGCTCAGCGCGTGCTGCTGTTCACTCTGAAACCTACTGACATGGGGTAGCCACCTACAACATGGGCTGTGGTATAGGGATTATGGAAAGCACTGTGGGACAGCAGTTGGGGCTTTTGTATATTCCCCACCTTCCACCCTCCAAACGTAATTCAGACCCTAAAATTGCTCCTGCCCCTGAACACCCTGGCTCTGTAACATCTCCCCAACATTTCTGTTTCCTCTACAGGTGCTGAGGAGAGTCAAGACCAGCCAGGTAACGAGCCCCGAGCTTCTGGGTCCTGGGCCTGGTTATGGGGTGGGGAGAGGAGACGGGCACCATGTCCCGTGCTAACATGGCTCCCCTGTGTGCAGTGTTCAGCCGTATCATCGGGGGGCAGGATGTCCAGGAGGGCAAATGGCCCTGGCAGGTCAGCGTTCAAGAGGATGACAAGCACGTCTGCGGGGGATCCCTCATCGCAGCCCAGTGGGTGGTGTCGGCCGCTCACTGCTTCAATCCGTGAGTAACTCAGCCTGGGGAATGACTTGTCCCTGGCCTCCTGCTTTGTGGCTGTTCCCCAGCTGCCCTGCCCCAGAGGTGGCTGCATCCCAGCCTCACACTGTCTCCCCTCCTCCCTTTTCTCCTCCCCAGCTCTGTGTCCCCTTCCCAGTATCGTGTGGTGCTGGGGGCGCACCAGCTCGCCAACCCCTCACCCCATCAGGTCACACGTGAGGTGCAGCAGATCATCCTGCAGCCCAGTTACAATAAGACAAGCTTCGTGGCCGACATCGCCCTGGTGCGGCTGGGGGAGGCCGCG